GAATAACCTGTTCCAATGCATCTAAGAAAAACCCAAATGCATTTAAAGATCCTGCATTTGCCCTAATAAGCTTTGTACTAGTCATGTTAAGTATACTGTACAAATCATTCCCTGTTCTTATGGATGGATTATAAATCCTAAGACTGAGTGAAAAACAAAAAGGCTGATGAAATGAATGACCTGTAAGAAAAACAGTATTTATTTTAATTTTCAAAGCTTAAAGGCCAAAATCCCTGATTGCACTCTAAATCACTTCTGAAAACCGTAAGAGCAATAGAATGACAGGGGAGTTGCAAGCACCAAAGTTAAGGGCAACTGAATGGAGCAAGACACAACAGGCACAATAAATGCAAACAACCACCTATGGATGCAGAAAACCTAATTCTTTACATTATGCTTACATTTAAGCACTTTTCTTAGCTAAGTCGAGGCAGATAAGTATTAGTTTGTCTGCAGAGTAGTTTCAGGACCTGGCACTTGCTGTCCATGTGGTTTGTTGCAGCTGTCTGCCCTTGGCTTGCATTCACGCTGCCTGAAGCAGCTCCTGCTGCTGTGTCTGGCAGTGTGGAAAAAAGTCTCTCTGTAAACTTACAAACCTTATCACAAAGCAGGACCTTGTTTCCTTTTTTGTGTCCTAAGCAGTAAGTGCTGAGGCTGCAGGTTTCCCAAGAACCAGCCTAACCAGCTCTGCTAGAAGCAAGCAAAGTGCCTGCAGAGTTATTTCAGTGGCAGGGTTGCCCCACGGGGTGACCAAACCTGTGTGTGAGTGCAAGCAGGATGGGCCCTCAAATCTGACACAGTGGCCCTCACCCCTGGCGGAGCTCCGGCAGAAGTGAGAATGCACGGTTCAGCTCACTGGGAAGGAAAAGCTTTTATTCAGATCACAGAAACTAGGAGCACTGGATCCAAAGTAATTTATAGGCTGAAATGGGGGTGGAATTACAATTTCAACTTTGAAAGTTTGTTCCTAAAATTTTGCTGGGCTTACTTTTCTTGCATTTTCTCCAATAGCTCAAAACCATGCTTTTTGTGGTGGTAGGCTAAGATAAAAGATGGGACTGTAGCTCCAATAGATGAAAATTGGGGTTTTCTAATCCACTGTTGACTGAGACAGTGAATAAATACAGCACTAGGACAGTTTTCCAATAGAAAGAAGTCATCATCTGAAAAATCAAATACCAAGATTATTATCTATTTACATATGGTTACCTCTCCCTTTCCTCACCATTAAATCCCACAATGATCTTGACCGATTTCCCTGAACACAGCTGGTGGTGACATTAAATCGTAACATTCTTTAACTTGAAAAATACTTTTTCCTGTAATTATTTTAGAAATCTCATAGAATGACAAAATCAACGAACACTAGGAGAGATGACAGCCTGAAAATCCTCCTTTAAAATTATTTGCAACATGGCCTGGAAATAAAATAAGAATGAAAAAACTGTAATTTAACTGAGCAATAACAGTCTAAGCAAGAATACATATAGAAAAAAAAAGGACACTGCCAGAAGGCAGTTAACTGGAAAGGAATCTAAGAACATACCCAGGGCACCCTTCTTTCCCTTCGACATTTGATTAACAAACTCGCAATCCACCAGAGGGCCAGATCAACATCGAGTTTGGAACTGTAGGCTCCGAGAACCCCCACAGCTTCCTACTGGGGTCCTTGCCAAAGTGTCGTGGAGATTTTCTAGCAGGTGTACAAAAACAAATTCCTCGCTGCACCAGATATCATAACAAAAAACATGGGGATATTTTAACAGTACTCTTGATGCCTTGGTAAGCAAGATAAGAAAAGTTTAGATATTTTTATTCACTTCAAATGCTTTCTACACAAATGTGGTCAAAACCATCACTATTATAAATTATAACATTATGTGTTTATAAAATTCTACATTTCTAATATTACACTTTTAATTTTTGCAGTAATTCTGCTGAATAGTTTTTATTCTGAAGAGGAAAAAAAAACCTAACAACAAGAAAACCTGCAAAACAAGAACTGTTACCTTGTTCCTTTTATGCATCAGGTTGCAAGGACATCACTACCAAAAACCATTGAACTAGGCTTGCTGTCCTAAGTATAACCTGGCACCCCACTTTGCCATTCTACTTCAAACTGTGTATGGCAAGATAACCGGCTCTCTTGAGAACCCCACTACGTACGTGCAGCTACATAACATCACTTCCTTAATACAAGACAGTAAATGAGAAAGCGTGAGCAATTCACTCATTTTTCCGTATTTCTCAACCCCAGACACTGCATTTTAGCAATGCAATAGTCTCGCTTCGAGGCTATACTGTTTTTACATGTGGAGAGAATTGGTGCATGTGTTTCACTTCTGAGCCTGATCCTCCAGCTTTTCTGCAAGCAAAGCCATGGCTGATTACACCTCAAATTTGACTGCACAAGAATCGGCACCAGGATGAGAAGAGCAGAAATCTAACACCACATGGGAGCAAGGTTTTAAACCTTGGCAGCTTCCATATAAAAATAAAACAACTGAAACATTTAAAAACATAAATGAGGGAAGCCAGCAACAACAAAATTACTCACATCCTATTTAAAATGACGCATCTTTGCTTTAAACATTATTAGAGATAACCTATTCAGACAAATAAGCTTCCCTGAGAGCTCCCCTGCTCTTTTCCTGTAACAGTTGTGGACTGAAGAGTCCAGAGCTTGTAATCTCTCATGAATAAAAAAATGCATTCCTTTGGCCAGTCTTGATTCTGGCAATAAGCACCTCATATTCCTATTCGATTGAAGTCAAGGTATTCTTGCATGCAGTAATGTACTCTATTGTCTGTGAGCATATTTTTGCACATGATATTTATATGGAGAGAATGAACGCAGAAACAACTTCTGGAACTTTCTAATAAGCATGATGTGTAAAATAAAGTGAAGAGACAAAACAATACTCCTTAGATCAAGCTCCATAAAAAACAGACCCAAAAGCAAGCAACATTGTTCAAGATTATGAAAATACAGAAAAACTTTGCATCGTGAAAAACAGCCTCTAAATTTACCTCAGGTTTGGAAATAACACTTGTTATTAAAACTAAGGTAATCAGCAGTTATTTGGACAGCTGCAGCAACCATTTCCATTTAATAAAAGATGCTTTCTCTAGATGGGCACTAAATGTCCTTTGCACTTACAGGTGTGGAAAACCAAGACATGGGGCTGTCAGTTAAGAAAGATTTAAAAGTAGACCCAGAAACCCTTATTCCTACCTATCTGGAACATTAAGAATCTTTATTTATTCCTGGCATCTCCCATCTGAGTGAGTGTTTGAAAAAGGCAAACACAACGAGGCAGGCAGGAGTCCTTCAGGAACTTCAGCACTAACTTTTCAGCCGAACTGAAGAGCCATTAACGCAAATACAGCGTGCGTGAGGTACATATAACTAAAAAGTTATGTAGGTTTTCACCTGTTTTAGGACAGCTTTCTTACACATATAAACCTGTTTCTCACTCTGTTCAACAACTGCCTCAGACCAAAGCCAAGAAAAAGAGCTGATATTGTTAAATCAGCATCAGCTCATACTCAGCTATTCAAGCAAGTCTTCACTCTGCTTTAACCATTCCCATATTCAATTCATAAGCATAAAACCACCTAATTTCCAAAGTAACACGACTCTCAGTGCTCCACTATTCCTAATTTACCTATAACTTTCCTAATTTTAAAAATAATTGGCCTACAAACCCAGATAAATTGGGCATTTATCTTGGGAAATCCGCACAGGGGGCAAAGTGGCTGTAGAATGTTTTAAAACTGGCTCGACCGAGACGAGGACACCGATTTCTGGGATTTGACGCTGCAGCGCAGACCTGCGGAGACACAACTACCTGAAAGAGCGGCAGACCCAAAACCAGCGGCCACCACAAGGAGCCCTCACAGCGTGAACAGCGCCTCCCTGCTCAGCCAAGCCCGCCTTAGCAGCGCCTGCGCAGCCGCCGTCCGCCGCGAGGCGGGCTGAGACACCCCGTCCTCTCACGGGAGAGGGAAGCCGCGGTGCTCTGTGGGAGCTGCAGTTTCAACTCCCCGGCGCCCCTCGACTACGACTCCCAGCAGGCCCCAGCGTTGTTGGGCGGCGGCGGAGTGTGCCGGGAGTTGTAGTCCCGCCGCCCCACCACTCCTTCTCCGGCTTTGGTGGAAACCCCGTGCGGGGCGG